ACCTGCTGTGCCACCAGGGAGGGCCTGATAACTATTTTTAATTTTTTTACATAGATACTTAATTTCCTTAGCAAAGGTGTTTTTGGAAAAGTGACAGCTACCCATTGTAATAGAGAATTAATAATCAAGTACTAAGATTATCCTTATTACCACAAACCTGTAATCTAGTCAGTGTTGTCAATCTGTTAGTGATTATTCTTCAAAATGGTCAAATGTATTTAAAGAAAAATAAGAATCTCAGTCCAAAGTTTATTATACCACCTACTAGTCATTATTTGTGGAAAGTGGAAGTGGAATTGTGGGAATAAACACCTTTAAAAATGTTTATATTCTTAGGCAATATGATAATTTTCAAATAGTGAAATAACTATTGAAATTATTTGAAAATTAGTAATTTTTAAAAAATTTTACATGTCAGAAAGTATAGACTCTTGTACAGAAATGTGTTCATCTTACTAGTCCCAGCATATCTTAATTGTGTGTTTTTTTTCTCAAGCTGGACTCTGGACTGTCTTCACACTGGGTGGCGTGGGCAGCAAATCAGCTGCTACTCCAGAACTTTCTTCTCCTCTGGCCAACCAGAGTGTCCTGCTCTTGCTGGTGCTGGCCAACCTGACAGATGCAGCAGATGCACCAAACCCCTATAGACAGGCCCTCATGTCCTTTAAGAATACACAAGGTCTGTGGCATTTTTCCCTTTGTCTGTTCTTTCTAATGAAGAGAGTGTTGTTTACCCTGTGATGTTTGTTGTCTTACCACTGTGGCAATGGCTGTTGATGTTGATTTGTTGATTTCCATATCAGTTAAAGAAGATAAAAAGCTTAGACTTTTCTGCATATTTTCTCAGGAAGTTCAAAGATGAGATCTCTGGGTCTTTATATCAACTTATTTATTACTGTTCAAAAATTTTTTTTATTTTTGGTGTAGAGGAGAATTCACCAGAGACTGAGTGTGGAGTAGAACAGGCAGATGTACTGAAATACAAGGCTGAGGGGAGCAGTGGGCAAGACAGAAGAGGTCTGCTGTGCCATGTAGGTTAGCTTCCTGGCCAGGGATTGAACTCAGGTCCTGGAGGTGATAGTGCTGAGATTTAACCTCAGATCCACCAGGGAGGTCCCAATATCCATTTAAATTTATATTTCTTTCAGAGATAATCACACCAGTTTGTGATTAATTCAAATCTTCCTTTTGGGGAAAGGAATTGATCAGGAAAACTCATATGACATGTTGGTTGAATTTTTCATTTCAAATATATATTCCAGCTAGAGTTTTAAAGAACTAAAAGTCAGATTAGAATACAACACATTTTTCTGTCTGGGAGCAGGTGCCTGTAAGGCCATGTAGTCTCTGTCACCATGTTGTGATTCTGCCACTGCCACATGAAAGCAGCCATAGATGATGTAGACATGAATGAACAGGGCTGGGTTCTAATAACACTTTCTCTCCAAAACAACAAGAAGCAATAGGGTCAAATTGTGGGATTTAGTTTATTTCTCTCTCTTTTTAATATTTGGCTTTTGCAGGAGCATTTATCTTTTCAGAATGACATTGTTAAATGGTATTTGCATATAACTTTATAATCATGGGAAATCATGATATTTAGAAAGTGCATAGTAATTGTCCTGGTTAGGTTTCTTTGTTGGGGAAGAACTATTTCATTCCTTTTCTCTTAACATATTTTAGTTTTATAGCATAATG